CCTTTCCAACTCTAACAATTCTATGATTCTAATTTACTCCTATAGCCCAAAACCTTCATACATTTAATTTACATTTAAAGTGCAATTAGGACTGGAGCTAAAACTCAAATAAATTGTGGGCTTAGTTGAGGTTAGAGTTTAACTGTTCAAAAAGTAGGAAAAAAAGCCTAATCAGATGCTGGTATTTAACCAGCCTCTGTAGCCACAGAACCACAGAGAGTTGCAAGGGACTACCCAACAGAAGAGACAGGTCTACTTAGGGCAAAAGCTCCAGCTCATTTTTCCGTGATATGCAGTACCATTTCCTGTTTCTCCCTTCCACCTTTGAGGCCACAAAACCAGTCCCATAACTATTTCAGCAACAATGCATCTCTGTTGATAGTCCAAGGCAACCAAGCAGATAGGTTACATGGTAACAAGATAAATAAGACTTCCCTCTGCCCATTTCCTCTTCTTCTCTCCATTGTTTCTGTAGGTTAGACTGACAGGAAAATATACAAAGTACCAGTTTGTACCCTAACATAAACAGCCTTAGGAGATATCTACTATTTTCCTTTCTACTCAGTGAAATGTCTGACACCCTGAAAGTCAGGCAATTATTGCCTCAACAACACACCTGATGCTGAGCTAGAAACAGGATACTACTTGTCATTCACACAGTGCCAACATTCTCAGTTCTCAGTGCTACCATTATGGATCACCGAGCTAAAGATGAAGTCATTCTCTGGAAAGTAGATCCAAAGTGAAAACAAGAGAATGAGAATTTCCAAGAGAATGACCGAACTCAGGACTGCGCTTTATCTGTTGCCTGTAGAATTTGTTTCTGTTCTGAGCTCAGCTTACAGCCCTTGCATTAGAATCGTGTGTTGATGACACAAGGAATCTCCACAGTCTGACTTAGCTTTTAATTTTTCCTCACATATCTCCTGCTTAGCGCTTTTAAACCTATCATGACACATCACTGCGGTAATTAAATAACCTTCTGATTAGTGAAATCCCTTTCTCTTTCGTGGCATTTCTGTTAAGTCTAGTACTTGTTGATAAAAACATTAGTGTCAGAGCAAAAAACCAAAGAAATTTCAACAGCATCCTGGTAGTCAATCCACAACAGCCTGAGGTGCTGCATTAGCTTCTCTCACTGTCATTCACTGCAAATGACAGATAGACTCTAACTACACCTAATAAGGAGCAGACTGTCATAACTTCTCCTTGATTGATTGGAAAGGTGGATATAGAACAGGCTTTGAAACCAAGACAAACTAATGCCCGCTGATTCTTGGAAATTTTGTTACTGACAACAATGAAGTTGTTTCAGGTGGAGTTAGTTCTCATGCTTTTTTCTTTTACTTCAGACAGGTGTGCTCTAATGACATTTTGTTTAACAGCAGCTAAATTAAAAACAAGTCATCCCTTGCAGCTCGACCATTAGTATTTTTATAAATTAACTGACTTTTGGTTATAAAAGTGCTCTTTTCTAACAGTTTGAGTTTGCCTCAGTCATACAAAAGTATATGAAACAACTTGGAGGACTTCAGGGGGGAAGAGGGGAGGAACGAAGAAAACATACAGCAAAAAACCAAAACAAAAACCATGAGTTAAACCAGAGTTCCTAAAAAAGCCAATGAATTTCTACTTCTTGGCATATTTCCAGTACAAAGATAGCTTTGAAGTCAGATCACTATTAATTCACAGAGTCTGAGGATGAATGTGTTCTTTTGAACTAAAATGAACAATTTCTTACCAATGAAACCCAGCTGAGAAAATTCTAGAATCATCCAATCTTCAGAAGCGAGCTGAAGTGCAAAATTTTTTATTGTGCTGAAATAATTCTGCTTGACAACGATGTCATCTTCAAGCTAGAGGAAGGTAACAATGACATTAACATAAATAAAAAGAAGAGCCAGCAAAGCAAGAGGAAAAATTACAGCTAGGAAATTCAGATATACAATATATTGCTAACACATAGCCATATATTTCTAATACAAGCACTGCTACAAAACTTAGATGCTGTAGCCAAGAATAACTATTGTAGGGGTCACAGTCTCTCTATTTGTGGAGAACCATTCTTTTTGTAGTAAGAATCCACAAAGGTATCCCAGCTTGTTACTTCAGAACATTGCTTTTCTAGCTTCCCCCTTCGGAGAAAAATCATCACTGAAATAATGTTGGACTAAGTGACATTACCAGTAGAACAAGTAATATCTGTTTTATTTGTACACAAACGTTACTCTCCTTATTCGTGCACCTGGCAGCACTAAAAGAATTTCTCCTCTGAGACAAGAAGTGAAGAGACATGTTGTCTACAGAGGTGGGATTCATTTCACCTGGCTTTAGCTGTCCAACAGAAGAATAGGTGCCTAGTCCAAACTAATCATCTAGTCCAGGCAGAAGAACTGCCAAGATGGGGTGCTACAAGCCCCTTAATTCATAGTAAGTGCAGGCCACTGCATTAAGAATCCTGCTGCTTCTGTCTTTTCTCCCAGTGCATTCATGCTCTCCCCCTTGTGCTGGCATAATACTTCTGCAACTGCCTAGTTTCAAAAAGACCGTCTCATGCCATTGGCTGTGCAGCTGCCAGAAGAGCTGAGTCTTTGACAGCAGTCAGCATAGCTTTGTAAAACCTAGATAAGAGGGGCTTTATACCCAAAGGACACAGTTCCAAAATCTAAATTAAGATCATAAGCACAGTTACTCACTAAATCTGCAATACCTGTAGGTAAGGCTTCTACTTCAAAGCAGCAAGACACGATAGGAACAATTCTGAGCTAAATTAAAGAAGAATTTCTTAACTCTGTTCTTGAAAACCTCTTTAAAAAAGAATACAGAAAACAAGTCTAGCAACACATTGAAAACGTATCTATACACAACATTAGCGTGACCAGCAGGTTGAAGGAGGTGATCCTGCCCCTCTACTCTGCTCTCGTGAGACCCCACTTGGAGTACTGCGTGTAGATGTGGTGTCCTCAACATAAAAAGGACATGGAGCTGTTGGAGCAAGTCCAGAGGAGGCCACAAGGATGATAAGGGGGCTGGAGCACCTCCCGTATGAAGACAGGCTGAGAAAGTTGGGGCTGTTCAGCCTGGAGGAGAGAAGGCTGCGTGGAGACCTCATAGCAGCCTTCCAGTATCTGAAGGGGGTCTACAAGGGAGCCGGAGAGGGACTCTTCATTAGGGACTCTAGTGGTAGGACAAGGAGTAATGGCTTCAAACTTAAACAGGGGAAGTTCAGGTTAGATATAAGGAAGAAGTTCTTCACAGTGAGGGTGGTGAGGCACTGGAACGGGTTGCCCAAGGAAGTGGTAAATGCTCCATCCCTGGCGGTGTTCAAAGCTAGATGGGACAGAGCCTTGGGTGACATTGTCTAGTGCGAGGTGTCCCTGCCCATGACAGGGGGTTGGAATGAGATGATCTTAAGGTCCTTTCCAACCCAAACCATTCTATGCTGCACTTGCCTTCAAAAGAAAGTAAAACTGGGTTTTAGCTCAAATTCCACCCAGAACTGTGCAGGTGGGTTTTGCCTAGGCAGCTTAACTCATCTGGGTGTCAAGGGCAAAACAGTAATTAAGCTGCCTGTATTCCTCACTTTTTTTACTAAGCATCTTAAGAGAAAAAAAGTCATATAGGACAAACTACTTTCTACTTCAGACGCAGTGTCCTCCACAAATTACTTCCTCGTATACCATAACCTCTATATTTAATGTACTCCTTCAACTATGGAATCAAATTCTGTATAGGTCTTCCTGATGTTACCAGTAGCGTAATTCTGGAGAGTCATTTGAAAACTTGTCTCAAAACAAATAACATAAATTTACCTGAATGTAATAAACCCCCTTTTTCTGAGCATACATCATAAGAAAACAATAATCCAAGTTTTGTTTTGTCCTCCATCTGAAATGAAATTAAAAGCTTAAGAATTATGAAAAAAGGTATTTCAGTACAACTAGCAACGCAAAGTAAATGTCACTATAAAGAACGATGCATGTTAGCGAAATATTAGGAGAGCTGCTTTTGGCATTGTTCCCTCAGGAAATCCTCTGTCTGAATAAAAGGAACAAAGCTTTTGCCTTATGCTTTAAAGCAGACATAAAACTGGTTTAACTTGAATCTGATTTTGTGAAAATTATCTGATGTTTCACTAAAAACACATGTGCATTTTAAATGGTAGTTCAGCTGGAATTACTGGGGTTTACGCTGTATTTCAAGAAAAACAGTAAACAAAAAAGTCTGTATGAAGGAGAAAAAGTATATAAAGTCTCAGTTCTCCTCTCAGAATTTAATGCTAAATGAATTCAACCAAACATAGCATTAGGCAGTGATCACACAGAGAACAGCATGCAGATAGGAATGAGATGGATTCACAGAGCACTTTTAGCATCCCCACACTTTCAAGAATTACAGTAAGAAAACATTTCAAGAATTCTCAACCCACTTGCCATTTCACAAACAACAAAAGTTGGGTGTGGGAGGAGATGGGAAAAGATCTGGGTGAATAAACTAACCTCACTCTCTCTTTTGAGTCTCCAAATGTCTCCTTCAAGTTTGTCAAGTCAGGATAGTAAGTTGCAGGAGGGGCTATTACTTCCACCAAGCCAGAATTCATCTCTGTAGAAAACCTGTCAATAGAAACATCCTAAAATCACATGAAAGAGTCTGAGTTCTGTAGACTTCCTGCTTGCTTTCTGTTGGTACAGTTACTGTGTCTGGTTACAATGACTTAATCAAACAAAGCATGTAAAATAGAAGCATATTAAAAAAAAAGTATATAAAAAGTATAGTTTTCCTTAGCATCATCTTCAGATCGGTCTAGCCTCTTGCTCAATAGTCAGAATTCTAACTAGATTCTAAACAGTTCTTTTGCTTTTCTTTTTTTTCAGAACCTAGTGATTTTTTTCTATAGTCCTCTCCGAACATATGGAATACAAGGCTCTAACACAGATGCCACAAATCTCCATGCATGTTGAAACAATCCCATCTGTTTATGTTGCGCCAAATAATTTAACCTCATTTATTGTTTTACAATTTAACTGACTGAATCACTGCCCCTTAATCTGTTACCTATTAAGCTTTTGTTCAAAAGTCCAAACCCCTAAGAAACAAAATGCATGATCTCACATTTCCAGAATACTTTTTATTACTTATCACAACCAGATTTATGAAAAAAAAAAAAACAAAAACACAACCAAAACCAAAAGGAAAACCCACTGATAAGCTAAGAAATCTCCATTAAAATGAATGACAACTTACTCTTTTTCCAGGCTTGCAACAACACTGTTGACATAATCAAGATCAGTCTGGAAAAAAACACACACAAAAACCCCAAATAGAATATTTAACAGTTTTAGAGATACATTTTAAAGCAACCCAGTAAAATAAACATTAGAGGTAGCTGTACTTGAAAATCAATTTCAGCACGTAAGATATTTAAGTAATATAGGAAAATATCACACATTGTAACTATGGCTTATGTCTAATGTAGAAGAAATTATTGTTTTGTGACCAGAGAAGAATAATGTTTGCCTCATATCTGGACTTAACAGACAGTTCTAATCTAAGTGCGGAATTTTCTTGCAACCCCTCATACTCTTAAGGACAAAATGATCACTGAGCATTTGTATATGAAGAACTTCATATTATTGTTATATAATAATAACATATGTGACAATATTACCAAGGAAAGTTTTCTGGAACACAGGGCACTGAACACACACTCTTCTTTCAAAAATACATCTCCTGAACTTTGCATTTAAACCATGGATGATCCAACCATAGATAGCAATGAACATGCTGTTTTCCTGACGAGGGCTGCTTTTTTGCATCAGAGACTAAACTTGAGGGACTATTGATCTTACCAAATATCCAGTTCTTACAGATGCACAGATTCTAAAAATTACTTGTTGGTTAAAATAGAGATTGTGACATTCTGGAAAAGTCTAGATCATCCACCTCACCAGCAAATAGGCTGGGGGGTACACTGCTGGGACAGCTGACCCCAAGTGGGATGAAGAAGGAAGAGGAGATGTAGATGAGGCACTTTGTGGCATGGTTTAATGGTAGTCTTGACAGCAATGACTGTACTTGATGATCCTAAAGGTCTTTCCCAACCTAGCTGACACTATGCTTCTATCTAACTTGACAGAGCTGGACGATTATTCAACATATTCGCTTGGTCATACACATGCATTCCAGGG